AAACATCAATATTTAGCAGTAACTCGCTGTTTCAGCATGCATTTATACAGACAAAAAAAAGACAAAAAAGTTCATAAACTTTTCATGCTGCAGTACTTCAATTGCTGAAGTCACTGCACATACAGTATGAGATTTGTCTATATCTGTTACATTGCTAAAAAAATAAATCACTTTTTGTCATAGCTAGGAAAGTCCAGCGTCAAAATCAAAAACTTGAACTGGAAGAATGACAACAGGGAACACATGAAACAGATATTCTTTGAAATCCACAGGCAAGACTTTCTCTGCGCCAAATACTGACAGAGTCTGCTGTCAACTCATGTTTTTTTCATTGTTTGCACAGGCATCATCGAGTATCACAAAATGCACCTCTCAAAATGTCATCCTTACCTTACAGGAATCTTCAAGATCACATCACTATGTACAGATTGCTCTCCATCACCACTTCCACTGCTCAGAGTCCAGCTGGCACATCGAGACTGTGCTTTCAACCGTTCAATTACACAAAATACACATTTAAAACTAAATGAACTTTTCTCGCTCCCTCTTGATTGATTTTTCCCCCCCATGCACACAGTAATTACAATGTCTCAATACAAATCAATTCCATGTACTGTAGATGCACAGACATAGATGGTATATTTGGTAACCAATCTGATTTGGTTACAAGTTTTAGTTTGTAGCACTGGGGCTGCTATTAGTCCAATCTATTCATATTAATGAGAAATGTACTACAAGACATTACAAGTCAGTATTCACACCTGGAATAAAAAAAACTACACCAAATATTATGTATATTCATTATTTTTCTGTTTTTATGTAGGCATATAACATACTGTAATTGCTATCACCTTTATTAAATCAATATCTCACCTTCTGTAATTTAAGTAGGTGCTTCCCCAGAGGTATGAAATGCAGGTCAGAGGTTCTGAATTGATCGCATATTTATTAGTAAAAACATAATGCAAAATTACCTATTCATGCTCTAGTCATTTTTTTCCCCCAGTATGGGCACAACATTAAAAAAGAATGAAAAATGTGGGTCTCAGAAGGCCAGTTAATCTGGGCAGTCGGGAAACAAGCTATCAGGAAAGTCACCTGGGTGGTGAAGGGGTTGTTTTTCCAACATGTTAACAGATCTCACTCCATGCTCATGAGAAATATGTTCAGACACATGCGATTTTAAAATCACCCTTCAATTCAATTCTATTGAATCTTGAACCTTTTCCAAACCAGATGCTGTCGCTTTGTTACCTTGAAATAATAACTATGAAAGTTAGTCTATTGTTATCATTCCTCACGTGTTATTTTTATTTGATTTTGCACTAATGTGATAAAGTAACTATTCAGCTTTTTAAGAATAAGAAGAAGCAGGAGCAGAAGATTAATTTGCCTTGTCCTCCTTGAGCTATTCAGTAATTTTGATCTGATGTATGTTCAGTCTCTTCAATGGCAGGAATAGTGAACTGCTTATTGCGAGTTTACTGCACACAGTCATTATGCACCAACATTGAGTAATGCTTTTATATTTCACACAAATGTATTCCAGTTTGAGAGTGATTGTAAAATACCATCTTCTTTGAAAGTGTCCCAGTGAATATGAGCTGATGTGATCACTCCAATAACTCAATACTCCTGAATATTAATAGACTAGCACAGCCTGTGTAAACCAAAACTGCTAATCAACTGACTCTCAGAAGCAAGCAGTTTCACATTGGTGTGACAACTAACACAACCGCCTCACAGATCCAGAGGGTCCCAAGTTCGTTTAGTCACAGAAATCAGCCTCAGGCATCCATCTGTGGGGAGTCTGCATGTTCCCAATGTGGTCAGGTGTCCTCTCACTTCTCAAACGCATGCTGGCAAGGCTTGATTAGGGATCTCATATTATCACTTGCATCACACATTGCTGGACACAGGAGATGACAGTAGTGTGATCTGAACCCCACCTTGAGATCGTCACTGTGAGTCTGTGAGCGTAGACTCTTCCTTAGAGCCCAGGAGTGCATCTGTTTGCTCTCCTCTGGACTGATTCCAAAGGAGTTTTAGAACATGCTGACCAATACTGCACAGTTTCTTATTAGTACACTGCACATAAAGCATCTTGATTTCAGGTCTACAGTTTAAACTCTCTATATATATATCTTACCATTTTGCTTGCCTTTGTATTGCTTCCTGACAGTTTTTAAAGGATGAAAGTGATGTGTCAAGATAGAAAACTAAACCTTTGTCATATGGAGCATCTTTACTCTCAATGTTTCCCAACATGTACTGTAATACTCTCTACTTCTCTACATTAATTAACGTCAGGAGTTCACCCAGTCTTGAATATTGCAGCTTCTTCGGTGTTTGGTAACTCTTACTGTGACTGGAGACTCCGTTTCCAGGTCACCAGGCACTCGTGAGATATCCAGACACACATACACATACGCAAACATTGCACTATCTAAACAAAGGCAATACATCTGGTTTCAAACGTAAACACACTTTACCTACAGTAGTCGGGAATTCCGGGACAGCTTCGCTTGTTCTGTGGGTACACACACAGAGTAAAGCAAGGTTGTTCACATATGGTCAAAATTAAACATTAACTCAAACCAAACACCCGTTTTTCTTTGTTTTATAAGTGAAATGAACTAAATGAATATGGCTAAACTGGTGTTTAACTAACGTGTTCCTAATAAACGGCAATTTTTTTGTTTGTTTGTTTTCTCACCGGTAAAATAGCTTCTCCCGCAACCTATAGGATCCACACAGTGACGAACCAAGGCGGGCTGGCTTAGCACCGCCTGTTCCAGAGTTGCGCATGCGTGGATTGATCTGTAAGACGATACTTTTAAGAGGGGGTAGTATTTTCTTTAAAATATTTATGTACTTAAATTAAGTAATGACATTTTATTTTTGTTAATAATATGTTGATTGTTTAATGGTTTATTTATTGGAGACAAGTTTTTTTTCCCTTTGGCTAGTTTGTGTTTTCCACAGTGTTTTTTGTTGGGTGTGGACTTTGGGAACACAGTTCCTCGCAATAAACACCATTGAACGTCTTTGCTATTGTGGCTGTGCCATCATTATTGTTCATCCCATCTACACTTCTAAACTTTTGAAGACGAAACTGTGACACTTAAATTGTGATATCTTATGCAAACTTGTCTAGTGTACTAACTATTCTGGAATCTAGTTTAGTGATATAAATTAAGTAGAGCAGTGTTCCTAGTACAGACCCTGTGGTACTCTACTAATTACTTCACCTCAGGGAGAGAATTTATTTGTTACCCTGTCCACTAACCCTACTCCAACTCAAAGTTATCAAGTACTGCCATCCTGCAGATTCTATACACCTCTTTAAATCCCCTTTTCTAAAGAACAAAGAAATGCTTCTACTTCTCCAGCTAAGCAAATAATGAATTAAATTAATTAAGAGGTCAGATGAAAGGAAAACCAAAAACCTTCTGATCCTCCCAAACTGGAGTCACAGCCACCTGCATTATCCAGTTCTTAATCCAAGCAGTAATCCTTCAGTTTTAGAATGAATATTTTATGAGGAGCTGTAGCAAAATCCTCCTGAAAATCCAAATGTATCATATCACATGCAGAGAAAGTATTCATCAAGTCAGTTAAGAAAGACCTACCATGTCTGGAACCATATTGACAACAACATAGCATCGGATTTCAGTCCTAGGGGAGTACTGTGTCTGCTGAGTTTTGTTCCAACTAGGCCATTAATCACCAGGGCTAAGTGCTAATCACTGGTGTTAATTGATGCATGTAATTGATCTGCATGCTTGTCTAGATTTTATCTGCACTCAGTCCCTGGTTTCAAAAATGCCCTAGCTAAAGTACTTTATTTCCAGCTTGCAGAACTTTATGCAGTCTCTCCTCAGCTTGTTAATTAAGAATTTCCTCTCTTATTTCTAACAAAAAGAAAAAAGTCTTGATAACAGAAGTCTCACAATGAGTTTTTTTTTTCTTTTCTACTTAGGTCCAGTTGGTGCCGGAATGAGAGTAGTCCTCATGCACAACTGGCACAGTGTTGATACCGATTCTAAACCCCTGGTTTTAAAACACCGATAAAATAGAAAATAGAAATCAATGAGCATGTGACTAAGAATCTGTCTAGATTCTTAATGCAACAACTAGAAAACATATTTCCCCAGGATCAGTAATAAGAACGAACGCCTTAGACTCTTATTGCCATTCATATGGACCCTCAAGTCTGCAGTAGCCTGAAGTTTTGTCATTTCACACGGCATGCAAACACTGTGATGCAAATATACTCATCAGCCTACATCCATTTTCATCTCATAACTGCATCCTTGTATTGCTCAAGTGTCATTCTGAAGTCTGTTCTGAAATTGGATATCCTGTGCGTTTCATAAGCAGGTTTTCAATTATTTTTTTTTAAATATAATTTTGTTGTTCGTTTTTTTTTTTCATTTGAATTTATAAAAGTTCGTGATTTTCATTTGTGTTGCATTAGATCAGGAGGTAACAACAGCAGACTTGGATGGTCTGAATGTTTGTGGTTTACTTTCCCTCTGAGCCCTTAATTACTGTACTGGACTCCTCACTTAATTGGCTTTGTTGAAACTTTTTTTGTTTTTCAGATGTTGGAGATGTAAAGAGACCTTTCCCACCTGCTGGACAGCAGCCCTTGAAGACCAGAGTTATGAAAGGGGGTCCACAGCACACCGGAGACCTGTCCACAGCACACTGGAGATCTATCCACAGTATACTGCAGATCTGTTCACAGTATACTAGAGATCTGCCCAAGTCACACTGCAGATCTGTTCACAGTATACTCGAGATCTGTCCACAGCACACTGGAGATCTATCCACAGGATACTGGAGACCTGTCCACAGCAATTCCTACCATTCAGCTATTCCAGTTGACCTCAAGGGAGACAGATCCTGCCCTGAGGAGGGAAGGTTCTCCTTCTGAAACAGTAGTACAGTAGTGTAATTGGTTGCTACTGTATTATGAAATGATCAGCAGATGGGAATGTTAAGGTATTAACAAAATTTGGCTTCATACAACTTGAGCTTTATCCAACTGATCACAGGTGAGTTTGAATGACCACTGTGAAAGAGTTAAGCAGAGGTTGAAGACATTGTGGCATGGGGAATAAATCACGTGGGAGCTTCTTAATGATTAATTAGAGGTTTATTTCAAGTAAGGAAAGACTACACCCTTTCTTAGTTAAAAAAGTCTCTGTGAAATTTAAATGTAGTTAATCTCATGGACTCCCGCATTCTCTTCAGTTTGAAGCTTCATCTAGTCTTAGTCCATCCATCCTATACAGGGTTGCAGGGGAGCTGGAGACTATCCCAGCAAGCAATGGGCACAAGATACAATGGATGGGATGTCAGTCCATCACATGAAGACTTAGTCATCTATGTAAATTAATGAGGTACTCACAATATTGCAGCTATTAAGAAGAACCATCTTTAATCTACACTCTAATGCTTACTCACCTAAAACAACTTCCAACACCTTCCAACTCTGTCCCGTTTTATCAGTAATGACAACTCCAGTTTGTGCATCAGCTCTTGAAAGGTAGTGACTTCATTCCTGTGGGGACTTTCACACTCTGAAGCACTCCCACATGCAGTAAAGGTGGCACACGCCATTTCACAGGCACTTTTCCCTATCACACCTTCTTGTGTGCAATCATTGCGCCTAGATCAAGCCAAAAAGAAAAATAATCTGTAGCTTTTTTTTCTTGACTAATTTGGTCATTCTACAGTAAGGATTTGCACAGGCTCTTTAAGTCTTAGAATTCCTGGTTATGTGGCTAAGAAATGGGCATGCTTATTTAATTGGCTTTGGCAGTTCAGCAATTTAACTCTTCACAGTAATTAACATGCCTGATTTGTTAAATCATGTTACCATCTTTTTAATATTGCCATACCTCTTTCTCTATGAAACTTAGTGACAATAGCAGTGTAATACTTTAGTGTAGCAAATTATGAATGTGCATGTTCCCTTTATAAAGACAACTTAAATTACTAACATAGCTGTACAAGTGAATGGAGGTTGATTTGTAACGTCTAACATCTTTCTTGAATAATCTGGACAGAGGTACATGTCAGACATTATTGTTGTTATAATCATATCTACTATAGACATAATAACCACACATATAATAATATATGTAAGTTACAGTAGGTGTCATGATTGTGTATGATGAAGTGCAAACAAGACAATCTTTTTGAAAAAACTCTGATCTTGCTCTTTGGTGCTTCACAAAAGTCTGTAATGCCACTGCACTGAATTAGAACTACACATACCCATTCGCCATCTCATTTTCTTCTATCATACAAGAGACTGGCCTGATCATTGGCACTGCTGAGAAGCACTGCTGAGAAGACCCCAAGTGTGCAGGGTGAGTTTGTTCTGAAACTCTCAGAGCAGGACGTGCAGAAGACTCTGAGCAGGGTGAAAATCCATAAGGCTGCAGGGCCTGATGGGATACCACCTCGCGTCCTGAGGACACGTGCAGCCCAGCTGACCACAGTGTTTACAGACATCTTTAACTCCTCCCTGTCACCGTCCATTGTCCCCACATGCTTAAAAAAACACTATTGTTGCACTCCCCAAAAAGGCAAAAGTGACGTGCCTGAACGATTACCACCTAGTAGCATTAACATCTGTGGTGATGAAATGCCTGGAGAAGCTGGTGTTGTCACACATCAACTCCTCCATCAAGGAGTCCCTGGACCCTTTGCGGTTTGCCTACCAGAACAACAGATCAGTTGGTGATGCTGTCTCCCTGACTCTACATACAGCCTTGGAACACCTGGACACTAAGAACTCATATTTGAGAAAGCTGTTTGTGGACTACAGTTCAGCATTCAATTCCATCATACCCAGTCAACTGGTGACAAAGCTCAGGGGATTAGGTCTGTGCAACTCTGTCTGCAACTGGCTGCTGGACTTTCTAATCGAGAGACCACAGGTGGTGCAGATAGGTAATAAAACATCAACACCACTCACCCTGAGGACTGGAACCCCACAAGGCTGCTGTCTGAGTCCAAGGTTGTACTCCCTGTTCACTCACGACTGCACAGCAAGACACAGCAACAACCGCATCATTAGGTTTGCAGATGACACCACTATAATAGGCCAGATCAGCGATGATGACGAGTCCACTTACAGGAATGAAGTCATACAGCTGCTTAGGTGGTGTCATGGCAATAACCTCAACTTGAACGTAAATAAAATGAAAGAGCTTATAGTGGACTTTTGGAGACATACTGTAGGGCACACACTCACAGCCCACTCAGTATTGATGGAACGGAAGTGGAAACAGTCACCAGGTTTAGGTTTTTGGGAATTCAATTTCTAAAGATCTAACCTGGACTGTGAACACTGACTCTATCTTGAAGAAGGCTCAGCAGTGCCTTTATTTCTTGTACCTGTGTTGGTGAACTTCTACCGCTGTACCATCAAGAGCATCCTCACCAACGGGATCACCGTTTGATACGGCAACACCTCTTCTCGAGAAAGAAAGGCACTGCAGGGAATGGTCAATATGGCCTAGAAGTTCATCGGCTGTGGTCTCACCGAGGTTAAACAGCTCTATGAGGACCACTGCAGTGGTAGAATTCTGGCCATCACAGAGGACAGTCACCACCCCGGGCATGAGCTCTTCACCCCACTGCCCTCAGGCAAGAGATACAAGAGCACACAGACACTTACCACCAGATTCCTCAGTAGCTTCTACCCACAAGCAGTGTGAT